GGTTGGGGGCCTGGAAGGAGGAGGCAGAGTTTTGGGAGGGGACAGGACAGACACATGGATGCAATTCCCCAGGGCAGGGGGGTTAAAGCTGCATATTTCAGAGCCAGCATGAACGCCTGGCCGGGAGCCAAAGGGAACAAGCGCCTTGGCTTTTGCTGCCGAATCGCACTGCTCTGGGGGTCGGCACCCCCCTTTCTCCACCCGGCACAACCTGGGTATCCCCCATATCCCTTCCCCTCTTTTGGGGAACAACTGCCCGCCTTGTTCCTCTTCCCGGCAGGCCCAAAAACCAGGGGGAAAAAAAAAAACCAACCCAAAAAAATAAACCCACACGGGTGTGGGTTTTTTTTTTTTCCGCTTGTTTTTCCGCATTAGGAATTCAGGTCTTGTTCTCCCCTCTGGGACCCACCAGGGACTGAGGAACAGCTGAAATTAAATCATCAAAGAACCGTGCTGGCGAGAAGGGATGGGGCCAGCTCTGCCGGAGATAAAAAAAAAAACCTTTTTTCACCCCAAATCCTGCCCCACTCAGATTCAGGGTTGGGGGGGTGGGGGTCCCATCCTGGCTCATTAACAAGTTATTATTTAATTTCTATCCCAAGCGCACAGCCGAAACACCCAGGAAATCTGGGCGACAGGAGAGCATCGTCTCGCTGGACCACGTGGTGGTCAGCCGGGATTGCCGATGCTGGCCCTGGCGGCTCATTAGGCAATGAAGGGAAAGAACAAGGCGGGTGTGTTTGGGCAAACAGGGAAATTAATCCCAGTTAATTAGTAAATTGGCTTCATTACCACCCGGTAACCCCAGTCCGAGCTGGAGGGGCCTCTGACATGCCTTGATTCCTGCGGGTTTTTGGGGTACGCAGCCCCCTTTTCTGCCCTGGCTCTGGCGTGCCGCGGGATGCCAGGACAGGGTGAGGGTTGGGGTGATCCGGCAAAGTGTGGCAATGCACCCGCCGGGCAGGGAAAACCCGGCTCCTTCCCACGTGCGCCACGTGTGCCGGCTCTGCCCGCAGGACGCTGGCGGGAAGGGAGGCCCCCGAGCCGCGGTGCTGGAATTTTCCCTCCGCCGCTGCCGGATGAAACGCTGCTGCCGGCAGGATGGGCACGCCGGGACGTGCCTGCTTGGCTCTCGGCATGCCTGCCTCCATCCCGGCACTGCTTTTCCCCTCACCGGAGCCGAGGCGGAGCGCCGGGAGCCACCCTTGCCATTTGTGACCCCTGGTTGCTGGAGCCCAGCGCCTTTGTGGGGGTTAAGCCCGGCCTGGCCAGGCATGGTTTAAGGAGTCTCCGCCAAAGGCCCCGCACCCCTCCATGGTAAGCACCAGGATGCACAAAGCGGCCCCACACCGGCGCTTCTCATCTCCTAAGTGCTTTGCAAACATTAACTAATTAATCCTAATTAACTCGTTACCTAATTAGAGCCAATCGGCCCTCCCATTTGCAGGGAGAAGGGAAACTCCTGCACCTTCTACCCCTCCCCGCCCCTCCCCCCACCCACCAAATGCCCCAAAACCTCCACCGGTTTCACACCAACATTGGCAAGGACCTCGGTGTCCAGCCCTCCTGACTGCCACAAATTCAGGGTGAAAAACCCGCTTTATGGGTTCGCTAATCCCAAAAAAATCAAGAATGGGGATTTTCACCCATATGGCCTGGGCAGCACTGGGAACACTGGTGTCACCGGTGTGCCCACCCCATCATGGGGAAGCTCCTTTGGGGCCGGCAGTGGGTGCTTCCACCAGATTTTACGGCGAACAAGGGATTTGTGAAGGAAATGAGGAGGCGGTTGGGATGGAGGAGTTTCAGAGAGGCGTTTCCGAAAGGATTTCCTTCCCGGTGTCCCAGAAATGGGGACAGAGGCTTTGGGGACACTGAAAAAGCTGGCTGGGAGCCCCATGTCGCCCCTCAGGGACCTCGTTTTCCCACTGGGCCATCCCAGGTCGCCCTCCATAAACACCTCCCTCTCTCCACCCAGTCACCCGGAGGGGTTCCACGTGGCGCCAGCGTGGTGCCAGACCCATCCAGCTTCATGACGATGCTACAAATGGGAAGGAGTCGCCCTTCCCAGCGCTTTTCCCAGGCACAGGTGTAGCGGCCCCACAGCTTTGCTGAA